TCTGAGCAGGGACAAAGGGAGTGCCTAGTGAGGGCATGTGAAGCAACTCATAATCTGCCCCAGAGATATCTACCTCTACAAATAGTAGGATCTCTCATGAGCAATTGATCTGCAAATATAATCACAACTCTGTTTTCTCTACTGTTATGGCACTCCCAGTTCTGTGGTATCTGACTACCCCTCAGTCTGCTTTTTCATTATTCACTCACCACTAGTAAAAACGTAAGTAAGTAGAAAATGCCTTTGAAATTACAATTGGAAAGGCAGACGGGTTTGCTGTAGGTATAATCTTGAACATCAATTCAAAAGACAGGTAGGCCTGTTTTTAGATATGAATCTTTTTCTCTTGAAATCAAGATCTTGCAATATTAAAAGAGAAAAGGGTTTGTTGAGAGTTAATTCTACTACCATTTCCCTCTGTTCTTGAGCTGGCACTCGCCATGATAGCATTTCCATTATATGCTGTCTCTGGTGTATTGCTATCAAAGCACGCAGAAATTTTCCATTGAGTGGAAAATTGGCAAGGCTTTCTTGTTTACGACTGCAAAGGTAGCAATTTTGATAAAGTACTGTTCTATAATTATACTACTTTTAGCCAAACTGTAGAAAAAATACTTACTATTCAGTTCACCTGGCCAATATACCAGAGTGTAAACATTATCCATAAAACCAGGGCAGATTTTGTTTTTCGTAAGCATCTCCATTCAGACAGGGCTGTCTCAGTTTCTTGACTTCCTGGCATCAGCAAATAAGAAAAGGTTAAAGAGTTTTCACTTCAAGTTCAGTTTAAGATTTTTCATTCTGTGCTTTCAGGAGGCTCAACTTTGGTGGGCTAGTCTTTCTGTTCATCCAACAGGTTGGAGGCAGAGAATGAAACTATGTGATAGAAGGTAATCAGACAGTTGTAACATTCTTAAAAGGCTCCCACAAGAGTCCGTTCTGGCATCAATTTGTGTGCATTCTATTAATCTATAGGTTCTGAAAGGTTTCAGTGAATTTTGAGCTGAAATATAAACAGATGCTGTTCTGTTATTGAAGACCATGTTATCTCTGATGAGAAAATGCATATCCACACCAATTTAGTGCCAGCCTAGTTAAAAAAAATAAATGTTCAATACAGCTGAGAAATAAACTTAGGCAGCATTGGGAACACTCCAAAATAATAAACTAGAATTATGAGAATAATATTTTACATTTCTATTTGAGGATCTCAGAGTGCTTTACAAATATTAACTAAGCCTTGCAACCTCCTTGTGAAGCTGGATATTAAAACAACATTTATTTTCTAATTTGGCCAACTGAGGTATATACTTTAAGGGCAACTTTTTCAGAGGCATCAACTGATTATGGGCAACTCAATTTCTGGGTGGCACCTGGGATTTTTGTAAAGACTTAATACCTGGGATTGCAAAACCCCAAGCAGTTCAGAGTCCTGAGTCACTCCTCTGAACATCATGATTTAAAGAGAGACAAATAAACAAGCAAAGGGTTATTTTTATTTGCCTTCTGGTAGTGGAGTGTTTAGGGTTCACATTTTAAGCTTTTCTCTGCTGACTTGAGGGACAGATGCTTCTTTTTTAAATGAGAATTGAGATGGCTGGAATAACTAGATTCCTATAATTGGATTTTTAAGAAAAAACACAAAATACTGACAGACTCACAATAAAATTGTAAGGACTGCCAAACCTGAGTACCTACAATTTCATTTGAGGTCAATGAGTAATGAGAAATTTTAGTTCTTCTAAAAATGACTTCTAAGTATTCCAGGTTAGGCACCTAAAAATGAATGGATACTTTTGAATAAAGTGAGTGACCTGTGTGACTAATTTACCACCAAATAAGTGACATAGGATTATATCCCTAGTCACCACAAGTCAGTCTAAAAGTACAGCATCACCCTGCTTTCTTGCCCTTTCACCGATTCTGGTCTTATGGGGGTTTCTGAAGATGATGTTGTAGGGTCTGTAGGATTTGGTACAAGAATGAAGAGCATGTAGCCACTCCTCTGATCTTTTTCCAATCTGCCTCACCAAACATAAGAGCGTTTTTGTGGTGTGGAGCCTTTCTCCTCCCCTCTGTTTTCACAGAGAGTTACAAAGTCAGCACCTGGCAAGGGCAGCCTTGTCAAGCTTGGTACCATTATGACTAGGTTGGAAAGTAGAGGGGCACAGGACCATCATATAAAAAAACCTCAACAGATTTTTCTGTAACCCACATGTCTCAGGGGAACTTCTCACTTATGGCTACTGAACGTGTTATCTTTTCTGAAAAGTGGCACACCACCTCCTTTTCCCTGATGGAATGAACTGTGAAAGAACTAGGAAGATACAAATATTAATATAAGGTGATTGGGATGCAATTCGGAGTTGTTTATGCAACTTAGGAGGTTCATTCGGGACCTCACCATGCAGACTTAATTTACCAAAGGAGCACTTGGGCACTGTATGATGAGCAATAGAGAAAACCCTGCAACAGAGAAAGTAGATCACAATGTCAAAAACTTATGACAAACTAATCAGCTTATGTGTATTTAAATATGTTATGCATAGAGGTTGTGTATGTCTATGTGTACGTATGTGACTGTATAACATACAACTTAAACTCAGGAATATCTATAATAATAATAGGCTTAATCTGTCTGTCTGGAGCACTCTGATTGGTTGTCTTGGCAGCCAATCACAATGCTTACTGAAACAACCAATCAGAGTGCTCCGGACAGACAGAATAAACATGTTATTATTATAGAACCTGAGACCTTTCAAACAGATATGCAAGGAAGTCAGAGCTAGAAAGAAGCACCGGGACTCCCTGATGCAGAGCAGGCAGGCTCCACTGAAGGAGGAGAATAAAAAATGGTGTGGGCAGGCTTAGGGCCCCTCCTTTCCTGCAATCGGGAGTGGGCAGCCAGTGGGCCCTAAGCTGTGGTGGGGAAGTCCCAGTGCTTTCCTTTGTGGTGGTGGCACCCCCTGGGACTGCCTGGGTGGAGTGCCAGCGGGTGGGTGCTGCCTGGGGAATGCTGCCACCGTGGACGGAAGCACCAGAGTCCCCCACAGCTCAGGGGCTGTGCAACCTGCTGGCAGCTTGCTCCTCGGCCATGGGAGACACAGGCAGGCTTCAGGAGGAAAAAAAAACCCCATCAGGTCCCTCGCCAGTTTTTTTACTTTTCCTCAGTGGAGCCTGCCTGCGTGAGATGCCGCCAGGTTGCGCAGTCCCTGAGCTGCGGAAGGGTGGTGGTGGTGGGGGGGTCCCAGTGTTTCCCTCCGTGGCGGTGGTGCCACCCAGGCTGGGTGCTAGCTGTGTGGGAGCAGCCCCAGCTTGCAGGCAACACTTGCTGGATCCAATGGTACATGGGGTGCTGGAATCTCAAGTGTGCTCAGGGAAGCTTGGGTTTGGCAGGCTTCCAACACCCCATGCACCATCCCCATCACCTTCCCGCCACCTGGGACCTCCTGGGAGTGGGCTGGCTGCCCCGGGAAGGTGGCAAGAGGGTGGCTGGGTGTGCTGGCAGCTGGAGAAGGTGGCAGGGACAGTTCATGGGGCAATGAAAGCCTGCCAAGCCCAAGCTTCTTCGAGCATGCCCGGGTTTCCAGCGCCCCATGCATCATTCCCACTGCCTTCTCCGGATAGGGCCCTTGTACACATGAGGAATTTTGCTGTAATTTGTTATGTAGCAAACTAAAATACATGGGATGTATCTTAGTTTGCTACATAAAAAAGTTATTTAAATTGAAATATGCTGCTGAATGTGTACATTTTTGCACAATTAAATCATTAAGGAGGGCAATTAAACCACAAAAGGGGCAATTTTCTCATGTGTACAAGGGCCCTTAGTCACGTGTACAAGGGCCCTCTTATTCTATGACTATAAACAAGTCACAAGGTCAGACTTTTGACAAAATATGTATTTATATTCCTAAGCCTGTATTTACACATGGACAGTGTCCCAGGGACGCCGGGGTTAGAAGGGTACCCCGGGGCCGGACCAGGGGGGAAGTAATCACCTACTTACCCCACACAGAGGCCGGAGCGAGTAGGGGCACGCGTGCGGGGAGACCGCCAGCACGGTTCGTAAGCCGCGCTTATATCCAGCTGGGGCCGGGCGACGCCGGCGGGAGATGCTGCCCGGCAGAGATAAAAGGCGGCCCCGGAAGCGGGGCCAGGAGGGAGGCGGGGGAAGCCCGCAGGGAACCCCGAGAGCGGGACCCGTGCCAGCAAGGCACATGCATCCCACCCGACGGGGTCAGCCGAGGCAGCGGCGCTAACTGCAGCAGCTGCCGGGAGAGGAGCGG